TAGAGTGATTTTGTCAAACACTTTCTCAGAGCTGAAAGCCCAAAGTGAAGAACAGCAGCGAGGTCTTGTCGCTCCTCACGCCCACACACAACTCAGCACAGCGGCTGTGCTTCTCAGGGCTCACATGTGTCACCGTGGTTACACCAACACAACATTCTCATATACGGGACAACAAAGGTCAATGCAAGTGCCTCAAATGGACAAACACTACAGTGCGTTTGAATAGTTATGCTGTTTCTAGGCAACACAAAGCTGTGGATTAGGGGAAATTCCAAAAGTAGTAGTTCATTGGCATTACCCCAGAGTGCAACATTTTATGTGGCCTTTTTATTAAAGGAATACAACAACCTGTGACCTGTGACAAACAGACTAATTAAACATGATTCATATATTGTTTAAACTTGTATTATCTGGAATCTATACAATTGCTTTTATGTATGTATTTATTCAAAAGCAAGAACTGTGCACAGAAAATATTCATTTCAAAGTCAAAAATTTTTTTTTATAACATAACATAAACAATTAGTCTATAGGCTCCATTTCTAAAACGGTTGTATTATTTTTATGTACCTTGAAAAACATACCCAGTAAATGTTGTTATAAAACTTCAAGAACACAGACTTGGAAACAAATCTTTTACACTATGTCACATTTTTTCTTGGCACAATGGTGCCCTCTATCAACCAATCTTAGAAATGCATGCATATCAGGTGGATTTTAGATTTTCATTGAAAGGAAATACTGGCATAATGCTAAAATAATTATGATGGTCTGAAGTTTGCATGCTATCATACTAAACAGCTAAAGCAAATCAGATGACAATAGCAGCATTATTGAGCCATGCATTCTGCAGCCTATTACAGAGTTGGCACGACCTCCTCCTGGCTTCTGTGCGTGTGTCTCGCCATGCGTCTCAAATAGCCGTAACCATATGTTAACGCTTTACTTCCCAAATACGCGCGATGACAGCGTCGCTCTGTCTCTTTAAGAGCTGGGTGGAATGTTGTGGTTTGCCCAGGCGTTTGGGGTAGTGCCCTCACCCACACATAAACACAAACCTTAAAGTCATTCTGACTCACTCACTCTCCATTTCACATCTCTCCTGGTGCATTTCGGATGTTGATTCTGAAGCTCTCTGCTTTTGAAACCTGCTAATATTTTTTGTTAAAATTCACCATGTAGAATCGTATAATCAGCATCAAACATTTCAGTGTTTCAAGAGTGTCTCCTTGTTTATTTTAACATTTTGAAGCCACATAAAGTTGGAGAAGTTTAAAAATGGAAATTATAACTAGCCCTCAATTCTAAAAGTTAACAAACACATGGTGCAAATATGAACACTAAATAGTTCTGTGTATTGTCCCATTAGAATGAAGCTACTGCAATGTTGAACCATAGAGCCCCCTTGTGGCCGCGTGACGCAACGCGATTCTATATGAATAGGATCAATAGACGAGCCCCTTTATTAGATCCAGATTTGACCGTCTGAAGGCACAGATGAATGATTTTTGTAGTCTGTTGAGCAGCCCACATCGAGTTCAGCCTGTCAGACATGTCTGGGGGGACGTGGGGGAGGAACGGGAGACACGGGCCTCAAAGTAAAAGCCTGGAGAATGTGGGACAGGGGTAAACCCTAAACCTGAGAGCTCGGCCTGTAGCTGCCTTACAGGGAACAACACTTTTCTTATGGAGCTGGTGGGCAGACCTAAATGAGAAGTGACAGCATATTCATTTCAGCCAGTGTTTTGCTTTAAGAGCTCTTTAAAATGCTGCTGAATGATGAGCGGTCAGTGGATTTATAATGCAGGGAATCAGTTCAGTTTTTGTATGGTGTTGCTTTCCTCTCCCTCTCACTTACCTTGTGTTTTCCACATAACCAGCCGTTTCCAGAGGATTCATTGAGCCCCATGTTGGGATGACTGCTGCCAGGCTACAAAAACTCATTTAAAATCAGGACAGCGAGCACCTTACTTGTACATGCCAGTGGAGTCAGGGTGTGTCCACAAAAATAAATGAAAGAAGTCCAGGCATAGATTATAAAACACAACCATGGCTAGATATTGACTGACTGTTTTCCATAAGCAGGACTACATCTGTGGGTGCAGCACATACCAGAGTCTATTGTACAACGACATGCACTTTGTCTCGACGCCACATGTTGTCCCTCAAACATCCACCATCCACAGACCCATCTCTACATCGGCCCCTCAGGCAAGAATACCAAGAGGATGATTGGGTGAGGTCATGGACTGGACAATCACAAGTCACTGGATCTAAAAGTTCAGCTTGTAATGGAGGCAGTATTTTTGTAAATGGAGATTTAATTAATGACAAAAATAGATCTTTTATAACTGAGGCTTTGCTGAACTTGTAGATTTTCAACATTTTGATGTAATGTGTTTGAATAAGCATTGGAAAAAAATGTGAAATGCTGTTGTAGGGAGTAAGCAAGCTCTACAACACACTCCAGTCAGTGGCATGCCCAGATAAATATATTCCTGAAGGACATCTATTAAATGACAGAAAGTGGGATTAATAATTTAGCCAATATGGGAAAGATTAACTAAAATGTATAAAGCATATTGAAAGGCTAAAACTTAAATAGTAGTACCTCTAGAAGCCCTTACGAGAGGACTATGAGACGTTTGTGGCAGCTTGTCTCCATAAATATGGTATAGCTTTGCCAAGAATGTTACACAGTATGGCATAAAACTCTCTTTTCATGGGGACAAGAAGCTGGTACCAATAGAGCAGGTTACAGGTCAGATCTGAGAGGCAAAACCACTCACATTAAGAGTGTATATTTTTCAGTAAAACAGTAATAAAGCAATAAAAGTCCCTGAATTGCTGCTATAGATAGATAAATGTTGCACTGTGGGATGGATACATGGACTGTATAAAAATTATACAGTGCATCTTCAAAGAAAAGATAATAAAATGAACTACACATCATTACAGATTAAGCTTTCATTATATTATGTGCATCAGCCCCCTGCCGTAAACATGAGCTGTTGCATGTTTAGTCATGACAAGTTTGAAGTTTGCTTGAAGAGATTTGATGCCGTGCCCTGCCTTCCCTGGTGCCACACTACCATTTTCTTCGTCCCCATGGAGCAGAAAGCTGGCTGGAATGGGCTCAGTCTCCATCTCCAGATCTTCTTGGGTAGCCCCCATTTAACAAAATAAATAAGTCATTACAGTTCTGAGTAAGGAGCTTCATTTAGTCAGAGCGATGTAATCAAAGATGTCTGTAGGTTGGCCACAGCATCTCAAATGTGAGCGTTTTGGGTTGAATCCCCAGAGACACAGTTCTGAAGTGAGGACACACTGGACTGCATATATTACTGCTGATGGTAGATTAGTTGGCATTACCAGAGACATCAAGGCTGAGAATAGACCTCCAAAGAGAATATTCTTTTCCATACATGTACAGTTAGTTAAGTTAAAAAAATATATATCTGCATTACGACCAAATCAACCTCTATTCCAAAATTACTGCAGATTTTTGTGCAAGCCACGTTTTGGGCACCACTTGGTCACTGAGTCCTTTTTTCTGTAAAATAATGCGTGCCAGTAATTGTTCTCATTTCTCATTTGTTCTTAATTGAGCTCATTTATTATAGAGTCCATAACTAATATTATTTTCACAACCATTTTGGACAGAGTAATGTAAAACAACACAGAGCTGACGTGAACCAACTCTTCGCCATACATTTTACAACACAGTTAAGTTAAACCCATTCCAACATCCATTCGAATTTCAGAATACTGCAATGGACTGTAAGTTTCAGTTTTTCAGATTACTTATATTACTTTTTGAATTCGTTGAAATAACTGCTGTACAGATGTGTTAGAAACCCTCTTTTACTGTATCCTGTGGAAGGCATAACAGCATGCGCATGAATGCCATTTTTCAGTAAAACGGATGTAACCATTTCCGCCTATTGTTTTACGCTGGGAACGCTATTATCAGTGTTGTTGTTCTTAATCATTGCATTAGGAAACCGTGCAACAAACAAGCTGTCCAGAGTGATGAAAGGCAAGCATTTTACCAGATGACCCCTGCTTGTATTGTAAAATTACTGGCTACTAATTGTGCCAAAGAATAAACAAAGGACTACTTTTATAAAGGCGCTCATTTTAGGTTAAATACAGCGGGGTAATTGTTACGCTACCTCTGTTATGGCAAGCTACAGTATCTATAATTGAAAAGTTCCACACGACTTGTAAATTTCAGTTTTCAGAGTGTGAAATTGCGACCTTGATGAGGCTATAAAGCGCCATGGTTGGGCGACTTTTCCCAAAGTGTATTGGCCCACATCCTTTTGGGGACTCCTGGTTTACAAAGAGGACAACATGAAGGAAATGAAGTTAGTGAAGTGAGCGGGGTCAACCGAGCAGGAAAAGACAAATTCTGCAGAGGAACTGGTGCTGCTGTTTTATTCCTGCGGGAAAGTGCATATTAGAAAAGACACGAACATGCGTGCGTAAAAATGGATTACGCACAGGGGGGATGTATTATTGGGATCTGGCAGTAGTTCATTCACAAATGTTAAATCTATTTTTAAATAACCAACACTGGCAATAAAATACACACAATTTTAAATGAAACAATATGTATTATGTGTTTATTATTTATTTATAAATTAACGTGTTGTCTGACTGATAATGTCACATGTCTCCTGCAGTATTAGTCGTATATTTAAGGTATGAAAAGTGTTAAAACATTTAAATAACTTAAGAACCATCCTTTCTCTATTAGTCTTACTTTACTGTACACAGGAAAATAACTTCATGTTAATTATCTGCAGCCGTAAACCAATAAAAACATCTTTCCCGTTTTTTATCGACACTTTCCTTCTCTAAACACTTTATAAACCAGATTTATGATGCTCTTTCTCTGTCTGCGTCCCCCTTATTTCATGGTTCAGTGGCCTCACAAGGCAAAGCGAGGGGAGGTTTTTCTCTCTCTGCTCATTGGTCGCCTCTTTCCCATCGTTGTAACATTTCCATTCATACAGCCGGCTCTGCTCCTTTTCGCTCCTTCAAAAAATAACTCACTGTCATCATCATCTTCATCATCGTCTGGAAACGGCTTTGGCTGCACGGGACTAATTATTGCGAGATCTGAGGAGGAGCCCATCGTAAAGGAGCGACTGAGATCAAACGAGTCGCGCGTAACGACAGGTGAGTGACGTGACGTGCGTCTGTAGAAGCTCTGCGCTGCGCAGGAGTTTGTGAGTTTGTGCACGTGCATGTGGGCTTTGGGGGACGAATTCACTTTTACTGAGGTTGTAGACTATAATACATTAGATTAGATTAAATAAAATGTAAAATGTTTTGCTGAGGGGGAAAACGCTATAAAGACACATTCGCACTTGTTGGCTACAATATTTAGTTCCTTGCTCCTAAGAACAAAAAATTGGAATTCACATTGGCAGAAATCAGTTGGCTCTGGTATGATGGATAACCGCGAGGTAAGATGCTTAAAATGTAACACAAGAGGGGTCCCGGCCCACTGGGCTGTCTCGAAGGAAGGTTCACGCCGTTATTCACCAGTCCGCCTCTGCCTAATTGGCTACAGATGCCGTGTCCCATGCGCTTTTTTACCGTGTAGAAATTGGAGGCATTGGGGGAACTTTATGGAGCGAGCCCTGAATTTGCCTGCAGGAATGGTCAACTGTCAGTTAGTGCCACGTTCATTTGGACTTTGTGTGTAATTTGTCATCAAATGGGAGAAATGCATGTCTTGAAACCATTTGGCGCATAATTATGATGGAATCCAATTTAATAGTTCACATAGTCTCTGCACTTCCATTTGCTCAATATAAAATAATGGTGCTTTGAAATATACTCACCCAATAAAGCTTTTTATTCTTTTATCCCACAAAATCAACTTTCTCTGTTTACTCTATTTTTGGTTGCCAGCAGTTTGCGTGATGGCGCACATGCCACAACCTCCTTAATAATTGCTCAGAGAGGGAAGGGCTAAAGACACCGTCCTCTAAGTGCCCTTTCACCCTAGACTTTGTAAGCTGCACTTATTAAAGCGAAAAGTGTTTCAATATGTGGTAAGCTTTAGGGGAAACGTGATGGGGGTTGGGTTGGGGCCCTCATCTTTTCTGTGCTACTAAACTCTAACGCGAGTTGGGGTGCAGATCTGATTCAGCCATTCAGCAATTTAATATTTCTTCTGATTGAAATTATGTGTTAAAATACATAATGGAAAATATCTAAAACATTATTTCACCTTGTTCAAGTAGTCATCAAGTTTAATATTTGCATTTTTGTAGGCTATCCCAAAACAACACGCATGGATCGTTTAGTTGATGCATAAAAATGTTGAATGTTCCTCATTATATTGCAGGTCCGACTGGTGACACCTTTGGCTGTCCCTCCAACATGTTTCAGACTGTCCCTGACACGTCGTCTTACGTCAAGGTAAAGACGCCACTTTAATTCAGGTAGCCTGTTCTTGACGGGACAAACTTGTATTTTACAACTGTTTTCCACATTTACTATTATTAATTAGCCAAACGTTTTTTGTTTTTTGTTTTTTTTTTTTTGTTTTTTTGGTTTGTTTGTTTGTTTTTTTATGAAGTCGTGATTATTGAGCAGCCAACAGTTTGGCGTGACTAAGTCGAACCAGGTCATCAGTGTCATTACTGGCTTATACTGTTGTGATATTATTGATATGTTTTTTGGGTTTTTTTTCCAATTGTGTGTGTTGTTTTTGTTTTTGTTTTTGTTTTGTTTTTTTTACTACACTTTATTACATTAATATAATCATTTGTCTTTGAGTCTGTCAACAGTTTTTTCTTCTATCTACTATCTTCTTTCTATCCACTGTTCTTGCTAAACATAACCCGCTCAGCAGCACACATCTGTTCTTCTCGTCTGGATGTCTGAATATGGTACAGCACTTACCTGTAACTGCCACAAGTGAGCCACTGTAACAGGCCCTTATTGTTTCTGATGCAAAGCATTGTGGCCCTGTGTCACGCACGCGCAGTGACTGGTTCCAGGTGTGTTTATTAACAGTGGTTAAAGTGACTTTTGTGGCTTATGGCTGATGTATTTGTTTTTTTTTTATTAAGTATGGCCTAATAAAATCGAGTGTTGTGCATTGAAGAGTTAAGCTGATCTGTTTGGTCACGGATAACGTGTTAATGTTTGGAAAAGTGATTTCCTCTTTGAATAAGAGGCCTTTTTATCCTAGGCGGGAACTTGGCGCGTCAAGGCTAAGAACAATTGGCGTTTTGTCCTAAATGTTTTACTTCAAAATATTAATTTTAAATGCAATCCAGATAAGAGGGGACTGGTTAAGAAATCAATGAACTTGAAAGGTTGTCGTATGGGCGTTTTCGTTGCTATTTTTAATAATCTTTGGAAACGTCTGTCTAATTGAGTTCGTTTCTGACAATCGATGTTTTCACAGTCGCCGATACAACTGGACCAATGTACCACAGCCACGCGTTAACGCACTTGCAAAGTGTGGCACGCTTCGAGACAGAATGTACAAAGAATATTCCTTATTGAGGTGGATCTGCGGCCCAGCATTTGGTTTTGTTTGGTTAAGGCCAGGCGAGACTGGAACTCTCCAATAAAAATAAATCTCAAATTAATTATGGCCTAGAGCGAGGGGCCAGACAGTTCTCGCTATATGCACAGCATACTTCATGCCCTCACTATTAGGACTGGTCTGCCTTCCAGCAGAGATCTGCAGTTATTTGAATAGAAGTCTGAGTTATTGTAAAATAATAATTCTAATTGGGACAAAAAATTAAACAAATAAAAAATACGTTGTTTGTCATGTTAGTATAAAAAATCGAATAAAAATTAAATGTTTTCATTAACTCTAAAAAAAACCAAACCAAAACAAAAACAAAAAAACACAATAATTCAGGCTTTGTTGCTCCACACAATACGTCTACCATTACTAGTCCAAAATGTGTAAAGAAAATGGCTGTTGTTTATAGAAAACAAATAAGCAATAATTAATGCAATGTTTTATTTATCGTTGCACCAACACGGTTTGTGCTTCCTCAATAGGGTTATAAAGTGCTGTGAGTCTGTGACACGATGCTGTAATGTGGTTAATGCATATTTTGCATTTCAAATGTTTGTATGATGACGGTACGGCTCTGTAAGTTTGTCACCTACACCATAAGCTACATAAGAGAGCGTATTAAAATCCAACTGAACATAAACTTGACGCAGTGTCCGCCCACCTCTGGCCTTCTGCCCTGACGTGGAGCTACTGGCTCGTGGTGCATCGAAGAAATGTCTGGCTGTCTAGTTCCAGCGTCAATCCAGATGTTTTGTGGTTCACTGTGTAAACCAACCAGCATCTGTTTATTGGACTTCCAAAATGTTTGTTACCACTGTATTCATTATGGACTTGGTAGAACCTGGACCTAGGCTCTTGTAATCCTAATGATGAAAACGATATACAAAAGTCACATTTAAATGGGGCGACGATTGATAAATAAAAAAGTATAGCAGCAGACTTGATGTACCCCTGTAGCACTACCGCACATAACAGAGAGTGCCAGTGGAGAAAAAATCAGACATTGGAATGTATAGAAAAACAAAAGTGCACAAAGCAGCCAGTAAAGAGTTAAACAAGGTGTCTCCCTTAATTACACGAGGCTGAACTGGCCTCAGGCAGGAGAAGCCTTGACCCATAGCAGGATCCAGATGTGACGGTCCCAAGGGTGGGGGCCCTCAGCCCGAGCAGACCCCCAAGTTGAGAGCAGACAGGCCGACCCCGCTGTCAGTCGCTGCTGCGCACTGCAGACTCTCCCCTGGGCTTAATGCTCAGAGTATTTCTTATAACGGACTTCTACATTTCACATAGTCTACTAGAGAAAAGCAAGTTAGACTGTTTCCTTTATAACAATGATTGTATTCGGTAGCCCAGTCATTTTAAAACGCTTAGTTCACCCTTGGATGTTGGATTCCAGTCACGCATCTGTCTTGAAAATATGCCTAAATTGATGAGGGCAATTTCATAGTGGGAAGAAAGGAGTTGAGAAGAAGTTAAGAGAATCACAGAAAATATTACTTTAGTTGTATGTGCGCGTTTATGCGCATTTGTCTCTTATGAAACAGTGATAGAGGAATATAACAAACGTGCATAATATGAGAATAAATACTGGGTCACTGATTTATAATTACAAAAGTAAAAAAGAAAAAAATGTTGAAAAAACATGACACAAATGTAAATTATAATACCAAAGAATGCACCACAAAGCAATAAATGTCACGGTTGTCTTGTTTAAATATATAAATAGTAAAAAATACATATTAAAATGGGTAGCCTAAACTCCTCAACACCATCTGTGCCATTACTGGGAAAGCAAAACACCATTCTGAAAACGGTCCTCAATGTCTGTGCACAACGCAGGCAGCCATCCTGTAAATATTTCCGAGGAGAAAAACATAACAGCGGAGCGAACACTCAATTGTTTTCCCTGCTTATCTCCCTGGGACAGTATCCTGCTTTTTTGAAGGCAGGGCTTTTGGTGACACACAGCTTCCTTCTCAACAGCGGTGACTTCACTTCCCAAATTTAGAGGAAAGAAAAAAGCCAATCCGGTAAAAGTGTCTCTTTCTGTGCGCCGCATACCGGGGGCTGGAATTAATTCAGGAGCGTGTCATGTTTGGGATATTGTCGGGCTCCGCTGAAATTTGCTCAAAATGGACGGAACTATTAAGGTAAGGGTGGAGAGCGGGGTGTAGGAGTTTGTGGGAGACAGCTTTTTCGGAGTTGCGCCTCCTTTTTTAAGCAATGGGTTGATTTGCTCCCGTGTGTTTGGCGGTGAGGAGTGGAACCGCGGATCTGACGCCGATGAGCGGCTTTTTTGTTTGTGTCTCGGAGCTTTAACAGTTTCCCTTTTCCTCTTTAAGATCGCTTTTTCTTTTTTCAATAAACTTCCCGCTCAAATGGACAGTTGTGGATTCTAATCGGGATTTTGGATTTTGCAGAGCCATCCTGAACAAGCTGTTACAATTACGCGCGTATGGGAAAGCGAAGGACTTGTCTGAGGCGTCATGTATTGACTGTGCGTGCATAAAGGTGTAAGTAAAGCTTCAGTTTAACGGTTTAGTCTGGGCAATTGGAGTTGAGCAACAAGCGTGAGTGGATGTGCCGCTGGATGAGACGTGTGGAGCTGCGCAACAGTGGCGTGGCTCGTTGCCCGGCTTCTCACAGACAAAGTCGTGGTTTGAAGGATTTCACCTGATGGGTACTCCGTGTATTGATCACATTTTGGCCCGTTCAATGGCGAGTCGTTTTATATAAAGAAGCCATCATTTTGTAACTAAGTTTGCACCACGTTAACCACAAGGCTACACAATGTGAGACCTTCCTACTGAGCGTTACTCAACGGTTTTGAAATGTTTAAGGTCTGTATTAACGTGGCCTCTGGTTTCTGCGTCCACAGTCACGTTCCAGATGCATTATGGCCGCTGTACCTACCAGATGTTAAACTGCCAAGTGTGCCCATAGCTTGGATCTATAGTGGCAGTCACAGAAGTAGACAGCCTCCGTCAAGTGTCGTCCCCATGAACGCCGCATCTGCATTTACTCTCGCGGATGCTGAAAAGCAATGCAGCGTGTTTTCTTTTGGAGACTTAAAGTAGCGGGTTTGTGGCGGCTGGGTGTGGTGTGACTTTTGGAAGAGTGTAAACGTTGGCCAGACAAATATGCGGAGCTGTATATAGAGAGCCGTGTTTTAAAACCTGCCACTCAGCCCTCGTGCACGGGGATTGGTTTGTGTTGTGATGAATGGCATGCAGCAGAGACGGTTCGGTTTTGTATTTGTTACACTGTAGAATGTAATCATAATTGAGTCCTCGGGTGTAGATGACTGGCTGCTGTAGCTGAATTCACATGCTCTAAAAGAAAGGAAGGGCTCTCTAGCCATGAGAGTTTCCTGTTCTACACAATCTTTTCCTGACAGGTTTCCTTTTCCTCCTAAAACAAAGGACAGGAATGTGCCCCCCCGGATGCCTCCTGCCACGGCTGTGCAGTGTGTGACCGCCAAACAGACACACGTGTAGTCTGGATGCTGCGCACTACATCCAGCCGTGCGTCGTGACGCATTTGGAGAGATAGACACAGTCGATGTAAACAGAACAGAAGCAGCTCCCAGCAGGTGTCACACTCACACAATGCTTTTATATGGCTTTGTGCTATTTCCTTTGTCTCTGGCATTGCCAAGACCCTAATATTTATTCAAATAAAAACAGAAAATATGTATGGGGTCCATATTCATTAAAAAGTCCACATTAGGCGTCAGTGTTATGTTTTGTTTTGTTTTCCGTCTTTTGGAACTTGCAAACGTCCATATAATACTACATTATTCAGTCACCACTATCAGTGCTCACTTGGGTCACCACTTGCCAATCAAGGCTCCAAATGTGCAACCTGATATGTCACTGTAACAGTCTAAATAGTGGCCTGAGCCCTTATCCACCACAGTGAGACATGCCCTCACTCTTCTACATGTTATCATGTCCAGACATGGTGCTGTGTTCTGCCCCGATAGTCTGTTCTGTGTGATACAGCTGATCATCAAATCACCAGAAACTATTTTTGGAGTAACAGTATCTAATTTACCTATTGTGACCTGCCTGAACTTCATTTGGTTTCTATACTTTTTCCTAATTGAAGGTCAATTTTGAAAAGAAAAGTGAGAACTTTACTCATGACCATTATTACAATTCCCTCATAACTGTAAATATGTGTGAAAAATTACAAGGGATCAATAACCAGTGTGTTGTATTTTATTTTGACCATGCCGATTGGAATTGCTTTTTCATTCAGAAAACACAAACCATTTAACTTTTTTGTTGCATGATAAGACTTTGAAAGGAATGGCCCTGCAGTAAAAGTCAGATCAGGAGGATTTTGAGAAAAGGCTATATAATAAGTCTAAAGAATGGAAAAGGACTTGGTTGAAATATTGATCTGTGAATATCAAGTAGCCTTTCGCCTGCAGCGGAAATGTGGCATTTTGAAATGAAATAATTCAGCCTTGTGGGATTAGACAGCTCTCAGTCTAAGCTGTGCCATATGATCCTATCAGATCCAGATGTCAGCAGACTTAGATCTGATCCTCCACACAAGCATGACAGTTATCATTTCACTTCATATAAAACAGATTTCTGTTTTTATTTTCTATACTTCTCCTCGTTGCCCTCATTGAATACGTTCTGTGTATGTTGGAAAACTGTGGAAAACTTTGAGCAAGGTTAAAATAAAATGCTGGTGAAAGTGTCTTTTTTTTTTAGATAAATGTCAGATACTTAAACAAAAGTCTGAGATGAGCTAAGGATCGATTGACTCATTTTAGAGACAGACATTACCTTTCTGCATTCTAACTGTCAGTCTTTAAGATATGGGTCTAGCAATAAATTGACATTTTTTTAGAAGTTGAGTAGCATCCAACCCCTGAACTGGAATATTTAGAGGAGTACATTTTCCATTACGAGACAGGGACTGTGCCTTGGCAGTGGTCTATACTCTATCAAGTTATTCTACAGTTCAACCAAACTAACAAAGTATGTTTTTATCTTCTTCTTTTTTACTTTCAAATGTTGTAAATGACATTTGCTGATTTGTTCCATGTACTTTTCTCTTTCATTCAAACGTGAAAGTTTTGCACAATACTTTTATCATCTCACAGTTGAATCTTAAGAAATTCTGCTTCTCTTTGTGCGATGTACCCAATAATGAACATGAGGGTGCCTTTGTGAAGTTTTCTGAAGCCATAATCATAGCTCTGTAGGCCTGTTTGCAGTGGCCATGTTTGTTTTCTTTAATAAAGTTACATCGCGACACAGGAGAGAGAGGGCTGCTGCAGCACTGACCCGGCTGCTTCTGTTGAGTCTGAAGCTGAGATCAGGGAAAGCCCCAGGCCCAGACATAACACACACGTCAGAGGCTGGACACTGCTATTACACATGCATTAATCCACTTTATAGTCCATGTGCAGGAAACTGTGTGAAAAGGTATAGTCAAGACTGTGCAATCCATCGTGAATAAGATAGTATATTTACAGTTCATTTATGCACACTTGTATTTGGTAAATTATGAGAGTAATAACTTTTAGTTTTAGAGAGAGCAAAATCACTCAGTGCTGTGCTCAGACACTTTTTAGAAAACCCACAGGCCCACAGGTGAGCCTCAACAAAGACCAGGGGAGGGGTAGGGGGCAAACTCCACATCTCCCATCTACTGATAAAAAGTATAAATAAATAAACTTACATGGTAGCTTTAGCTGTCCTCTCTCTCTTGAGGAATATTGTAGTATTTCTGAGTAGTCCTTGTAGTGTGGTTATTTTATTTTATTCAACCATTACTTCAATCATACCATATGCCATAAGCAAGCTTTAACTTGGCACATGTATAAAGGTGCAAAGACTCATCTGATAGCCTCCTCTGTGGGGCACGATGTTTCTTCTAGAGTCAACAGGAAGCTCCAGTTGTAATGTGGGTTGTAAACACACAGATCTATTTGGGATGGCAGCGCTGATATGAGCTGTAAGTGCATATAATGACTCCAAACAAAAATACACAAGAGAAAATTCAGGGGTCACAAGACTTGGGCTGGGTACTCAAAAGATTGGCATTCCTTAGCACCATACAAGAGTGGGTCTAAAAATATGACATATAATAATATAATGGGGAAAGTAGGGCCGTGTAATCAGTCGGAGATCCAGATTCTCTTATTTCTAATCGTTTTTTATTTATTTATTTATTTACTTATTTATTTTATTTTTTTTACAAAGAGGTCCACAATCAATCCTCTGTCAGTAAAAGCACATGGTTTGGAGCAGTGTTTAGACTGAGTGGGGATAAATTTGAATATTTTTGTGATCAAGCATTGTATAGCTCAGAGAAAAAGGTTATTTTAGCCTATAAGCAAATGAATAGAGGACATATTATAAATTGTATTATATTTAAAGGTGTAGTTGTGTCTATTTGTAAGAGACTTCCCCCAAATTGTGAAAAAACGGATATCCTGCATTCACAAAACAAAAACATATCAAATCACCTTGCCATTGATATGGTTTGAAATATAATAACATATAATAATAATAATAATAATAATAATAATAATAATAATAATAATAATAATGATTGTCTTTGGTTTTTGGATTCCAGGAGGCGTTATCAGTGGTGAGTGAAGACCAGTCCCTGTTTGAGCCTCCGTACGCTGCTGCTGCCCCCCTCCCAAAAACAGACATGACTGCATCTGGAGCACAGGACTACGGTCAGACACATAAGATCAACTCCCTCCCACCACAACAAGAGTGGATCAACCAGCCAGTGCGGGTCAACGTCAAGCGAGAATATGAGCACATGAATGGCTCCAGGTAAGTCGCAGTTAGATGAACTCTCGCTTCATGCTGTATAATCATTTTTGGTGTTACCATTTTATGTTTATTCCAGCAATACATGTGTAAGTTGTTTGCTGAAAAAAATGAAGGTTGCACAAGGTTGGTCTTATGTGTACTTTTGTGTGCCGTACTTTCTCCTGTTCAGATTATTTGACATCAACCTGCTGAGGGACTGAATATGTTCACTAATATTTGCTGCCCCTTTACAAATAAATAATATAAGAAAAAGAAGAAACATCACATCACATTAGTTAACACAATATCCATATAGCAAAAAAATAAATAAATATTACAGACTGGTAATGAAACTATTTTTAATTTGACAAATTTTTTTTTGTTTGTTTTTAACTGATATATTTTAGTAATGTCATTTTACTTTTGGTTTAGCCTTCTTTTCGTTGTGGCTTTGTTTTTATCCTGACACAGTTTCAATAGTAAAACTTTGCTGAACTATAAATAGGCCTGTCACGATAATTACTGCATCAACTCATTCAATATCTGAAATCTGGAACAATATTTTGTGGAGTAAATAAACAAACTGTGGGTGCTTTTTCTTTGCACTGTTTTGCACGTTTTCTGTTATCTGTCAGTACTACAATAAGATCTGAGCCATAGAGGGTTGAATAAATAACTTGACTTCTTCTATAAACAAAATCATTTGTGCAAAACTGTTTCAATCTGCTTTTTATTTATTCATTTATTGTAGTTTGTGTTTTTTACCATATTATACATTTAAAATATGCTTTTGTTGGGATAATCCTGCTTTAGGGTCAGTGGCATAAATTAGTTTTTATATATTACTGTGGAAATATTGCTGGAATTTCATTATCACAATACATAGTCATCAGAAATTGCATTCTTTTCTAATACTGTGCATCTGTTTTTAAGGCCTTAATGGAATACAATGCCTTAAACAAAGCATTATTCTGTTCTCAAAATCCCAGTTATGTATAGTCATGGGTTTTGCAGATCAGTATCTCCTCTTTGCACAGTGTCTCTGCTTTTTTTGGAACTGTAGCTGTCAATAAGGCCTGTCTGACATGCATGTATAGATAAGACAAGTCAAAAACTAAACCAATCTATAGCCACAATATTCACTGTAGCGACTGTCTCTGTTACAGGGAGTCTCCGGTGGACTGCAGTGTGGGTAAATGTAATAAGATGGTGGGGGGTGGTGACACAGCTCAGATGAACTACGGAAACTACATGGACGAGAAGAGCGCCCCGCCCCCAAACATGACCACCAATGAGAGGAGAGTTATCGTACCAGCAGGTAAAAAAGTTCAAACACAAAATTGATTCTTGTGTGAGCTTTAAGCCATATTATAATGTTACTAACTCCTCAAAAGCATACCTGGAGTTAGGTTTTGTTTCAGTCACACATGTCTGACCCTTTATTATTAGCGTCATCTCCAAAGCTCAAAATGTTGTGTACTACCTTATGATTCATGAATCAGTAGTTTTCAAGTTAACAGCAACATTTGACCTTTAGTTCGGTAGAAATGGGCAATTCCAGAGCTGAAAGTATCCAAATGATTCAAGTGAAGATGTATGGGGTTAAAAACACAACAAATGACATCACAAGGTTGATCCAAACGTCTTCCATTTTAGAGAACTAATCCTAAATATGCAGGGTTTGTGTGTTAAACATGTGAATGAAACAAAACACAACTCCAGGTATGTTTGCGATGAGGAAACAACATTATAACATACATCAGAAAATAGTGTAATAAGGGCCCTTTTACTGACTTTTGTTATAACGTTGCATCATTATCAAACCCAGAGTTGTTTTGTTTGGGCATGGTTGAGTAATCCTGCATAATTAGTCTGTCTCCCTCACCACAGTTAAAAACACTCGCCCCCCCTTTGGTATATGTCAGCATTCTGTATTCCTTGATGTTCTTGTTGTGTTTTTAAAGCCCAAGCGCTTTCACCACACCTGAGTATATTGGAGTAAAGGTTTCATGACAACTAAGGTTTTACAGTAGACAAATGATTTCTAAGGCTGTAATTGACTAAAGAAATTCTTGTTTGACTAAAGATGTGCCCTGTGTGTCTGTCAGTGGACTTAAAAAGGGGTGTGTGTGAGGGGAGATTATGATTTGACCATATATTTGACACACTGCACTGACTAGACAAGAAAAGTACTCACAAATTGCATATTTGTATGGAAATGGCAGAATAAATCACAATTCCCTCTCAAATTTCAAGTTAGCTCACTCCATGCATTCTTCTTTCTGCTCTGGTGCATGTAAACCTTTAAAATCCAAAGAAAATAAGTTGACTAATAAAAATGTTTGACCAATTGACCGATGAATCGCCTATACGACTGGCACGCAATAGCCGTAATTATTTATGATTTAAACTTTGGAAAAACCAAAGTGAGAATATTTGGCAGTCTGAGTATTTCCCAGTAACTATGGTCTGTAGGTTACATCCAGATAAACAGAAGCCACTTAGTCCAAGTCACAATAATTCCTCTTGACATAAAACATACAGGTGCAAAATCAGTCTGTGTTTTATATGGCCATTGTTGTAAAAGGTCTACACTTTTTATAGAGCTCACTCGCAGGGTAAAGTATTGTACGACTCCTTTACACCGCTCATGGGAGCACGGCTGATTGCTGGCTTGCAGAAATGTATTCTTGACTGCCAATTTCTTCATAAATGTAAAACTAGACACAAACTGCTGTTCCAACCCTGTGAGAATGTCTAGGTCCAGACAGTGATCCAGAGACTTATTAAGATTCAAGAATATTAAACAGAAATCTTATTATAACATTTTAGCAGGCATAAACACACATTTCAGTTCCTTGAGTTTATTATTTCTTGTCTAAAATGCACAAAAAATACTCTCAAGATTGTAGACTAAAGTAAGCAATGAAGTGTAAACGAAGTGCACAATCTAACCACACTAAGGAACGAGGTATTGGCAAGCTAGTAAGCAGTTAATTTGACAGTTTAAAGAATAGATCAACTTTAAGCATTTTAATGGTCCTGCATTATCCTAAATTGACTATTGTGAGCTTAAGTCATGTTAGAAAGTTGTTACCTCATGTTTTAGTTCATTCACACGTTATTGTTAGTCTGTCTGCATCTCCAAAGCTCAGAATGCTCTGTACGACCTTATGATGTCATGGAGCAGTAGTTTTCAAGTTAGCAGCTGCTTTTTACCTTTAGTTCTGTAGAGATTGTCAATTCCAGTGCTCAAATTATCCAAATGATTCTAATGAAGATGGATGGAGTTTAAAAACACAGTGGAGCACTTCCTGTATTACCACGTGACATCACAAAATGGAACAGAATGCTTTCCGTCTGGGTGAAGAACTCAGTGAAGAATGCAGGATTTGCGGATTAAACATGTGTGAATGAAACAAAACACGACTCCAGATATGTTTTTGATGAGGAAACAACATTATAACATAGATCAGAAAACAGCGTAATATGAGCCCTTTAAAGCAACACACCATCAACCGGAGAGACAAGCCTTAAAGTAATCACTCTTGCTTATTCAAAAGTGGTATTTATATTTTGATGCCATCTTGTAGCCAGCCCTTGTACCCGGTGGTGCATGTTGTGTCTCGACTGTGTGATGAATCAGCACTGTAAACCATCCTAATCCATTCCTTCCCTCTCTCTAATTGCAGACCCATTGTTGTGGTCCCAGGATCATGTGCGCCAGTGGCTGGAGTGGGCCATAAAGGAGTACGGCCTGTTGGAGATCGACACCACCATGTTTCAGAACACAGACGGAAAAGAGCTCTGCAAAATGAGCAAGGACGACTTCCTCCGCCTCACCACCATGTACAACGCTGAAGTGCTCCTGTCTCATCTCAATTACCTCAGGGAAAGTAAGTCCTTTAACCCTGTACACAAAACTCTGTACTGAATAAATTAGTTTTATTTTATTTTTGTGCAAGGCATGTTAAGAAGGGTATCTGGATTAAAGGTGCACGATGTCACTTTTCTGATAGAGGATTTGCTACCTGCTTGTCTCAATGAGGATGTTATTGCTTTATCTGGAATGTTACGCAATATGGAACAGCGCTTAACTACCTCCATGGAGATAAACAGGTAGTGAAACAAGGCCAAGTTACAGGTCAGATTTGTGAAGAGGTAACTCTGCTCACAGTAAGAATTCATATTTTTTTAATAATTAGAAGAATGTATAAGATTTATATAGTGCTTTTCAAGACACCCAAAGCACTTTACATTGCATTATTCTTTCACTGCACACTTATCAGTGGTTAGACTGACAGACGCAAGGGTGTGATTTTGTCATTAAAACACCTGTAAATGAATGAATAAAACAAAGAAAAGTTTAATAACATATAGTTGAGCATTACAGGCAAAGCAATAATGTTCCCATGGATACAAGCAGGTAGCTAGCCTGATTCATCAGCCGGTTTCACTTTGTGGAAACCGTCTGACCTCGCAGCATTAGAATTTGCTCACTCGACAGTAGGCAGGTACTTTTTTTAATTTAACCAATCACTGTAATGCGCCGCTAAGGGGGATAACTGGTATAATAAGCTTTTCCCAAATCCCATAGGAAGAAAGGCTTTCCCCTTGATAAAATTCACCAAACATTCTCTTTGTTCCGGCTTTAAATCCTCGATCTCAGGAATCGTTGCCAACACAGAATGTATGGCTCTTCATTGATTGGCTTGCACTTCCAGGGTTCTTACAAACCATCTAGTGTATTCCAATTCCTGATGTAGTCGCTGGAGAGAAATTAAATTGAGTGGAGGCACTAGGTGGTGCCAGCCTGACTAGCAGGTAGCAGACGCTTCACCAGAAAAGTTGCATAGCTGAGTTTAGTCATAACAGATAACCAACTTAATATATATTGAAACAAAACTTTTAAACTCTTCAACTCAAAAGAAAAACAACCACAATATAAATTTTCTCAATCTTAAACTTGAATAAATAGAGACAAAGAACATGTGGTATAACAGTTAGGATAAATTATAATATGCAAATCCCTGCGCGCTAGAACAAACTGGAATCTCCCCGTCAGAGAACAGCCAAAAGAAGGAGTGTTACTTGGAACAATTGAACCTTTTAAATCCCGTGATTAAGAAATATTGATAACTCTGCATAAACAACGCTTTTGTCAGCCCACAACTTTAGCAGTAAAACCAACAAACAAGAGTGACTTATTTCACTGGAAAATGAACACAGCTTTAGTGGTTTGGAGGTCCTAGACAGAGCTGTGGAAATCTTAATGGGTTTTTCTTCTAGCTCTCTCCAGATAACCATCGCCTCCATCCCAACACATACACTTAGTGGTCCCCTACACCACATGTTACTCACAGATGAAGGCCAGGTGAACCGCCTCAGGAGCAATACTGAGGCTTTCTATGTTCAGTACAGCAAAGAAAGATGATCTACAATTTACTATAAAGGAAACACAATTTAGGGACCTCTCTCCATCAATCATGCTGGTTACCACCAGCACTAACAACAGAGAGCAGCCCAAATCAAACTGTGAAATTAATGTTCAAATCTACATTAAATAGATGTTGAAAAGATAGGACAAATCATAGGGTAGTATTTAGAAAAAGAAGACGTTTTCTTTCTATCCCTTTAGCTTTGGGTGGTTAATAGCCAGCTGTCTGAAGAAGAATGCAAATTTCACAGTAATCTTGGTTGGCAAAAATATATGTTTAGTCAAATAGGGCTCAGCATACATGAGCATCAGTACTGGGCGTATACTGTGTTGAGAAGAATACTCTGAAAATGTACTGAAGTTGCTGAATTCTGAATACATGAATTAAAATGTATTTTGTAACATATCCTGATACATAGTTTAATCACAGTATTGTATTTATTCTGAAAGCTTCCAGTATATACATTCAGTTGCTTTAAAATGTGAGATAGGATTATAAAACAAACTTCTTTTATTCATCACTAATTAGAAAAAGAAAAATTGCACTCACCACAAAAGTGACTGTTTTCTGAATACCACCAAATGATAGAGTAACTGTACAGAATGCAGTTATTCAAAATGAGTATTTAGAATATGTATTTACAGTACATATATTTAGTTACTCCCCAACACTGGGCGTATATATAGAGAGGACTGGCCTTGTACAACAAGGTAACCCACAGCTTGGAGAAAGTCAAAACATGGATTTAACCATAACTAAACCAGTCCACAGCCAGAACTATAAATCAGTGCACCAAGTTTAGAAAAAACAAAACAGAGAGAGAGAGAGAAAGAAATTCAATGTTATTCATATTAAGGACCTAACTGGCACTGACACCAAAATAAACCATTTCCAAATAAGACTTAAACTAGACCTAAACCAGGAGCTAACCTAAGCTAAAGTCGGTATTGTTGACTGTATAATGTGAGAGCTTGCATTGCTGTGGCTGTGAGTATCATGACACTGCTGGGTGGAGTGAATGATGGCCTGGACTATATTTAACATTACTCCCAAAAAATTGCGATGGTCCCAGCGTGACGTAATGGGAACTGTATTTTGTGGGTGTCAACAGTTTTCTCGATGCACCACGACTGGCAGAGAGAGAAGGCTGCCGTGAGTATAACAGGCTCATTGTGCACAGCTGAATATGTCTAACCGCTGCTGGGCACACTTCGCATAGCACTTTTTATTATGGCCATTGGCTTTAGGACTCTGCCCCTTTTTCTGATTTAGACTCTGTATGTTTTGGAGAAAGAAGAGATGTCTCCGGAATCCTCCTCAGTTGCCAGTTAAAATTGCCTTGGATGGCTTCCCAAGATGAATCCAGTTGCTTTTGGACGTTTTTGAGTGGCGATCCGAACAACTGTGATATTGACACTAGCGGCCTACGGGCAAGGAAAACTATCTATGCCGAAATGAACTACTAAAAGAGATCGACGTGAAAAAGGCAAAGCTATAGAGGTTTATATTTAGCCTCTAGCATTGATAATTTGAAGACTAAAGCTAGCTGTTTGACTTTCCCCCTCAAGCGCAAACAAATACAATACGGAAAATAGACTCCTGGCTTCAATCACAACAGATGGATTTGAACGCCAAAAATGAGGGGAAAGGAGGTTCAAAGTATTAGTGATTGCAGGTCATGTGATGTCTTCCGCTTTTTGTTGCTAGTCATGCACCACAGAAAAGCCAGATGACCTCCCAATCATTTCATACACATGTGTTTATCCCGTAAGTGTATTGTTTATTGAGCCTCTGATTAACATTCCTCTGAGTCATTAAGCACTGTATGTACACGCAGCATGGGGCAGGGACGCACTTCCACAGCCTCGAGACACACAAGAACTTTCACTGGCATGTCTCGCATTAGATAAACACAGATAAACATACAGCATAAAGTACTGTGCAAAATATGTGACAGATATTTGTATGTTGTTGTTTTTTTTGCATGATAGAGGGCTAAAACTATTTAAGTGAAGATAAAACAGATTTAGATCCTAACATGACAATAAAAGTAAATTAAAGGAGATGTTATTGCTTTGCTTGGAATGTTTCAAAGTGTGTACATACATACATCTATCGCTGTGATGCCACCAGGCCAAGTTACGGGTAAAAGCTGTGGAGAAATGAGCCCACTCATAGCAAGAATGTCAATGTTTAGCAATAAAACAGCTGTAATTTAATAGATTTAAAATAGATAAGTTAAATGCCATAGTGGAGCATTCAAGATAATGCAAAAACATCTCCATAGAGTAAAGCAGGTAGCGAACACTCACCAGAAAAGTTACTTAGTGTACCATTACCTATAGTAAACCAGTATGAACCAGTTCAAAACCAGTTCAGGACTCAGAAGGTTTGAACTAGTTTTATAGAACTGGTCAGAATCAGGACAAAAACAAAGGCAAAGTCTACACTGGAATTAAACTAGTACAATGTCCGGCTTAATCAGATTTAAATTCAGACTAACCCATAAATAAACCATGTCTTGTTCTAAAGTAACATTCACCCACCACAATCTTTCAGCGTCTGTCTGTGTGCCCAGCTGTGAGCAGTAACAGGGGAAGTTGCCCGTGCATTTTCTGGCTTCATTGTTGGTCACTTAACCGGATTTTTATAAGTGATGGCTGCCCGCACCCCAATGTGCTTTCAATTTGGGCTGCAATTTGAGAATTTGTCCAAATGAGTCTGTCAGGGAGGGACTGTAGACTGTTTACTTTATCGCACCCATGTAGGTCCGTTTGATACCACATGTGCTGGAGCAGGGCAGCAGCACAAACCTCAAAAAACTAGACAAGCGTATATCAGCCAGCACAGTGGCACAGAAACAGTAACAAAGTCAGAGGGAATACACAGTTGTAGTCAGAACTTGTCTTCATGATGATTTAAAAGTGTTAAAGGGCCCATTTTACACAATTTTTTCATCTATGTTATAACATTGTTTCGTCTTCAAACACATATCCGGAGTTTTGTTTTGTTTCATTCACACATGTTTAGCACACAAACTCTGCATATTTAGGCTCTGTTCGTTTCTCTAACAGGAAACACTCTGTTCTATCTTGTGATGTGGTAACACAGGAAGTGCTCCACTGTGTTTTTAAACTCCAAACATCTTCACCAGAATAATTTGGATGATTTCAGCCCTGGAATTGCTAGTCTATACTAAACAACAGGTAAAAGGTAGTCATTAACTTGAAACCAGCAACTACATGACATCACAATGTGGAACAGAGCATTTTGAGCTTTGGAGCTGTAAACAGACTAATAATAAAGGATTACTCAAACATGTGTGAATGTAACAAAACACAACTGCAGATATGTTTTTTAGGAGGCAACAAGTTTCTAACATGGCTTAAATCTCACAAGAATCCATTTTCGTATAATATAGGACCTTTAAAATTTTAAAAGCTAAAAATCAAGCATCA